TGTCCATTGAACTGCAAAGTTTTCTGCACAGTCAAGGCATCACGACTAGCCGGATTACCCCGTACAGTCCCCAAGGAAACGGACAGGTTGAGCGGCTGAACGGGACATTATCGAAGTCCATAACCTTAGCACTCCGTTCCAAAGAACTGGATATTCGGCAGTGGGAGTCCGTTTTACCCGAAGCATTACATTCTATCAGATCACTGTTCTGCGCGGTTACAAATGCTACACCCCACGAAAGGATATTTATGCATAACAGAAAGTCAACTACTGGGGTATCTGTCGCGCTGGCTTCTTTCCCCTGAGCCATTCTTGCTAAAGCGGAACAATCGAACTTCCTAGTATGACCCCTTGATAGACGAAGTGGAACTGCTGTAATGTAATCCGGCGTACGCACACTTGCGGTTGCCAAATGGCGTCGAGGAAACGGTCTCTTTTCGTCACTTAGCTCCACTACCTGATGTGCCAGAAGTCACAGCCCCTGAAACTTCCCAGCGGAGTTCGGATACTGTTACTACAGCAGAGCCACTCCATATCGAACCTACTGAGCCAGACGAACCAAATAGTACACAGTTACTGTTGTCAGACAACCTTGAGAACTTATACCGCCGGCAACAGCGCACACGACCTTACTGTCTACGTAACAGTGATGCATAGACATTCTGTCCCAACTCATGACATTACAACCATTTATTGTATCATGTTAGTCTCATTATTTTTCGTAGTATTGATCACGTGCATCTCTTTGCTTTTAGCCCATACTCCTATTCTCCTAGATAATTAAAGCCTAATCTTCAGGCCTTTTGTCTTCTCGCTCAATCGTCCTATATTGAGTTCTTATTTACTACATGCTTCAAATCGAGCAGCATTTTCGGACGCCCCGCCCCTAGACTTAAGGATAGCGGGTCTGTCTTGTAATTCGTGTTCGCAGCTTCAAATTTACATGGGCGACCGGTCGTCTTTCGCAGTATCCTTAGCCCACGTGCGACTGGCGGTGGTTGCGCGGCAGCGAAGTTTCGGTACTGCGTACCGGCGTATGGCCGGACACAGCCTCTCTAGCGGTAACTGATCGTGCTGTGATCAATTTAGGTCCGAGACCGGTTGGCACCATGTCACCCTCCGGCGGGTGCTGTGTCGGTATTTAGTGCTCGCGAAAAGTAAACGAGCATCTTCACACATATTAACTGGGAGCGAAATCAAATTACGTAAGTCTACAATGTGTTGACGTCCCAGATAAAGCTCGTGGATAATTTTCCAACTTGTGCGTTTAGACCTATGGTCAGCACTACAGTATCCGTGCTTCTTCTTTATGAAAGAGCTCTTTCAGTTAGCGATAGAAGTCATCTTTCACCGAGTCAGCGCTAGTTTACGGGCGCGTTGGCAACGATGGTTAACAGGCACCTACCAGCCCCTCGCGACTTTGACACTTTGAACGGGCCAGCCAGTCGGACGGCGCGCATCCGGCTACTTATTGAGATCCAGTCAACCAGAGCAGCAACAGTTCTTGGACTCAGAGCAATACCTACATCGGCTTGGCCGGCATTCGAAGCTGCTTCATCTCCGGATATTCGCACTGAGAAAGAGAAGATAAGGTGGAAAATCAAAAACTGGGGAATAAGAAGACGGGAAAGTTTGAGCGGTGGTATACTCACTTCTATCCACCCTGCTTAATGCAGCAGATAGCGCGCTGTTTATTATCCAGTGCGACGACCAGAGCATCAAAAATTCGTGTGAATGGAAGTTGTGTCCTACTTATTTATTTGCGACCCAACGTAGTCGTGTTCCTCAACATCAAAGGTGCCTTCGATTCGGTTGATCGATGTGCCCTTTGAGACTATCTACTAAGGAAAAATGTCCCCGTTACTTTCGTAAGCATTATAAGAACGCCTTACACGCGTATTTCTTTCAGAGTGAATGCTTGCGGCTAGCTATCGCCGTCCAGCGGTGTGAGGCAACCATGCCCACCGGCAGCTTTCCTTTTTAACTTCGCCATCGACGAAGTCACGGAAATTGCGTTCACTGGACACGACCTACAAGGTGTGGAGCTGTTTTCGGGTGACCGACTGCTCTAATCTGTGACAGCTCACAGACGTGCCAGGCAGCGCTGGACAAGTTAGCATTAGTCGTCAGTCATTTCGCGTTATGCTTTGCATCCCGGAAATACAAGTTATTTTCCAAGATTGTCAGGACACCACATTCGCGCTGTCCCTTGGTTATGATCAGCTAGAAGTCGTCGGGGAAATTCAGCTTTTTTACAGTATTATCCTTACAGCGATATCAACACGTGCAATCGAAGATGAGGTCGCGAACCGTAAAACAAAAGTTCGAGGCGCTTTTGCTTATGGCGCTGGTGCGACATAAATCTCGCACTGACTGACAAAGTTTACAATGCAGCCATGCGTTCAGTCCTCATGTTCGGATACGTAACCTGGCCCATCAGTTCGACAGACATAATGAGGCTAGTCACTTTGAATCATCCATACCTTCGCAACATAGCTCACATCTGGTGAGAACACCACGTAAGCGATTAGCGTGTTCGGCCGCGTAAACTTGTGCAGAAAGAGGGAGTGAACCACTCAGCACTGTTATTTCGCCGACGAGGCTCGGATGACTGGGCCCACTCCCGCGTCGTACGGTGTTTGCGTGCCGAGGTTGTGGATGGAAAAAGAGAAGAGGAGGGCAAGCAATGACTTGGTCGAGAGGAATAAATTCACTTCGAACTTGGGATCAGTACTGTCTCCTGACTGCCTTGCTAGGGCCTGATGAACACTGATCTTGTTTGGTTGGATGCACTTATTGATATGGTGAAGAGCCGATTTCAGTGCCGTTTGTGTTGCGGGTTTCTTTGTCCATCCCTATCTAGCTCATCTTCCCTCTCCAACCATGATCTCATTCTTGTTGCATGCTATGTTATTTAGCAGTATATTACCTGTTAGTTTTTTGTATTACTTAATGTGTAGCATTTATATTTTTCGTGTACCCTGTTTTTTATTGCGGCACAGTTGCTGAAGTGTGTTTCTCATATTCACCTAATGTTTAATGATGCTTATACCAGTAATGCACATGCAGTTGTGCTTTTCCACTGTCTAGTTGCTGGTAAAAATCACCACTTTCTTGCCTAACTAAGAAAGGCACCAGCAGTACACCGACACACCGTACCGACGTTACGCTGCGTCGCAACCAACCAGTAGCATTCGAGTTGGAATACTGCAAAATCACCTGCACGTACGCTGATTCGAACCGGTGACATCTGGATTGCAATGGAAGCACCTTATCCTTTCGGTCACCGGCCTGTGTGCGTGCAACGGCACACGCTCCGCATAAGCGGTTTATACACACAAGTGGTTCTTCAAATAATGCGGCGCAAAATATCCGCTGCACTGTCGGAGCGCTAACGTTCTTCCGTTTTGTTCACTTATACTAGTTAGGAACGATTTTATCAGCGCCTTTCATCATTCATTCTCAACTTCCACCGAGTTGTCAGTACCGGTACTTTTTATGTTTAACTCTCACTGTACGCCCGACACCGCCTTTGAAGTAATCACCCTTGCCCATTCTTTGCTGAATCCCTGTCAGCTTCCTTGTTCGTACATTCTAAAATCAGGTTCAGTTGCATGTGTGAACCCTCCGCATGAATGCACAAGACAGACAATGGACAACGCATTGAATTAGACCTTGCCTCATACTAGTTCCGGTTTTATCGAGAAAATCTGTGCTTTGTCTTAGTTTTTGGCCTCTTATTTAGAGCTTCCCAAACTTCACTTGAACCTTTTAGCTAGACCTGTCAACTGCGTACTGCTCAGCTGTTGATTTTCCCGGTCCCTACTCTCTATTCCTACCCGTTTTTCTTTCGCCTTTCACTCTTCCTCTTTCCCTCACTCTTACACAAACCTGCCCTTTATCCACTGGGCGTTGCCCCTCACACTTCCATTTCCCATGCTCATTTTTGAGTAGATCCAGCTCTACTCATTTATTCCCCTTCCCTGCGCATCTACAATTTTACTTTGACTGAGATTGCGGCACTTAGGTCCTCGGCTTTGTTTTCAATGGCTTCTCTGTCTGCGTTGTCAACTCCCATTTCTGAACAACTTAACCCAACAATGATTTTATTATTTAGTACCACCTTTCGGAGTATGGGATGGCGCTATAATTTAGTGCTACTGTTTCCTTTTTTAGTTGGGAGACTCAAAATATGAGAGTTTCGTCTTTACTAAATCTGATATCTAGAACTATAGTAATAAGAAATAGCTATCTTTCTTGTCACTCTGCAATCCATTTCGCTCGTCTGTCCGGATTTTTCCTGGTAGCTTGTGATGTTCATTAGTGCTAGTGGTGTCGCATAATTAATAATAAATAACTAATGTCAGCTGTACGACGCAACGGCGCTTCACTGTATTGCAACCGCTACCAGTCGCACACGGACTGAATATACCGCGAGGAACCCTATCTCTAGGCGGATTCGGACCCGCATAACTGCGGGACATGAGCTGCAAATGATTTTCTAAAATTCAGCTAATTTATCATGGTCACTCTCAATCAATAGGCTTAGGCTAGTCTGGAAAAGCACCAGACGCCGGTGTTTCGACCTTCTGGGTCTCGTCAGTAATGCGCCTTCCCGCGGACCTCTGCCGGGGTCCGCCTCAATGACTTCTGGATGTCGGCAGCTAGTGCCACTTCGCCATGGGTGACAACCGCGGACCTGCATGATTGACAGTTGACTATGATATATCCCGGCTCATTTTACATTGCCATGCCAGTTGCGACCTATGCAGGGGACAGTGGCTAGCCTCACAAGCTAGGACTTTCCGCATAGCACCTTGGCACGGCCATGCCGAAAACGGCTTTTCTCTTTATTATTACTGCTGTTAGGTTTCAGAAGCGGACCCGTTCATTGACTTCGTTTGCGCATTCTTTCTCTCCATTACTGCTACTAACGTAAATCAGCGTGCATATCCGCAATTTGTTCCGCCACTATGTAACCCCGGTTTTTCATCTTCTAGCTGTTCGCCAGCGGGCAGTCGCGTGCAAGCTGGATCAAGTGCAGCGTCGTATCCTTATTACGGGCGCTTTCCCGCGCACATTTGGTCGTCCTCAATGGGTCCGCCTACATGACACGTTGCTGCAATGGCATACAGGGCTTGACAACGTTCAAAAGAGCATCGGCGCAATGATTCAGGCAGATATATGTTAAACTTGCTGCATTAACCACATGTATTCATCCAAATATACAAGCACTTGGACAAACGGAAATTCTTCCTTTCCCCCTTACAGGTGCTTCATTAAACTCCCTCCCTTTTGGTGTAGGCATGATTGGTTGTTGGATATACACCCTTTTTTACCATCACTTTTGTTATAATTGAGGGGACGCCTCTTGATATGATTGCGTAGATGCCTGATAAGATTGTCGCTGGCACGGTTGGAGCACGCCTATGGTAACGGCTTGTAACGCTGGCCAATCGAACGGAGTTGCGCTGACCTGATGACGTTAGCTTAGCCAGTGAGACGGAAAATGAGCGAACGTGAGAACGATTCTAGCCGCACGTATTCGGGTAGACGCTGAGCCTTCGGAACGGACGCACACGAGAGGGGGTTACGATAGACACGCGCTAATGACTTAGAAGCGAACGCTGGCAGGCTAACGTCGCACACACACAATCACGTGACCCGACCGACTCCCAAGTAAGGCGAAGAGGAAAGAAAGACAGGCGGTCCTCTGAAAGCTATTTTACTTCCAACGAAGGGCGAATCACGGCCAATGCTATGGGTTATTAAGTTAGGGAAAGTTGCTACCACGACGAGGTGGTAGTTTGCAAATGACCATTGTCAAAAGGTGCGCAGTTGGGCCGCGTCTCGGAGTGGCTAAACGCTGCTGTGTTGTGGGGAGGAATGAAACCTCGCTTTCCACAGCCATACTGCCGGGATTTCTGGCGCGTTTTTGCAGGAATACTGGACGGGCCCACAACAATTTTGCCATCTGCTTCGATTCTTACCGTTGCTCCGTCTTGTTCGTTAAGATTTTTAGCGGTGATGTGGGAATCTACAGTGACGGGTCAGACTTTACATCCCACACCTTCCATCTAGGACATAGATGCACTCTGAGGTTGCTATTGAATGCCGGTTGAAAACACAAATAATCTGCAATGACGGAGCGCGTATGCTTGGGGTGCTCGAACGCGGCTTCTGCCGTTAGTTTTAAGGGACTGCCACTTACTCATTCCCATCCATCGTATGATCAGTTCTGCAGTTCGACTCATTTACCTATTATCCGATCACCCGGGGTAAAGTACAATAAATTGAGAGGTTTCAGTTTGTGGCTACCGGGCTCACCCCTTGCCTACGATGTTTGATGTGTGGAGACCGATGCGGGATGTCAAGGCTAGCACAGTGTTCAATCATCGACTTTAAATTTACCTCATAACTGCCAACCAGACATTACGTTTAGGTTGACTTCCTCACACCAAGGTCTCGCTGTGAGCACCAAGTGGCACACGTGGACACCGGTACATGCCTGTATTACCACCTCTGCTGAATCCACTCCCATTCGTGTGCAACCAGTACTCGAGTGGTTGTTTTATACTTTGTATCACTTTCGTTAATATGCGTCCGGTCGAAGGCTTCCGCGGGTCGTAATAGACCGAGGGAACTGAACTGCAAAACTGGTATTTCGTGGATAGTTTCATCCTAACTACTTCGTAAGAGAGAGAACTGGATGAAGGATGTGCCTGACTTACACCTCGTGGCGAGCTGGCTGCCGATGGTGGACAGAATTTGAGTTGAATGAATGGATGGTATGATTACGAACGGGAGACGGCTGCTCTAAAACACATTGAAATCGAAAGGCAAAGGAAAGAGGAAACAATAATGGCTTTCTGAATTAGGCTCAACGATCTGCCTGTTGGTCTTTACATATATATATATATATATATATATATATATATATATATATATATATGCTTGTTTGGCGACATCCGGTTCATATTGCAACGGGACTGGACCTTAACGTAGTGCAATGATTTGTGTGCCTCGTCGACCCATTGAGCTATACTAGGTGGTACCCCCGGCCCCTTGAGAGCTACTCCTACCGGGTTGGTCAGTGCTTAGAGGTCAGGCAGACTCAGTCTCCTAGTCCTCCAGGTTGGGTGGTTTAAATGCGGTGCAGTCCACTTCTGTAAAACTAAATCATTGCCACCTCTGCAACCTTACGAACGGGCTTTTGAGCCAAAGGCGTTGGTTGAGGACCCTAATCGTCCTCTTTTCTACGTCTGGGCGCCCTGGCAGTATCTCAACTACGTGCAGCCGTAGCTATTTTTTAAAACTTCAACCACATCCTGCATCGGCCGTCGCACAGATTATCGAAAGTCGCCTTGATTGCTTGGATTCCCGTGAACAACTGTTTGTGTGTAGCCCGTTTGATGACATCAACCATGGTTGATTCACGAAGTAGTACCAGTCGCTGTTTATTTGTGGCTTCCGCTTCCTCTCCCACCGACTGCAGTTTTACTGCTTCCAAGGACCCACTCTTCCAAGAACTGAACACGCTGCTACGCAGTGCTACCATTTCAGATATCGAAATCTTTGAAGATAATATGAATGCGCAAGTAGTGCGCCTGTGCTCTTCAGAAACTCCGCTAGGTAGTAATTATGGGCTTAACTCCGAAAGACGGACAGCGTCTAGTGTCTGTTGCAACCGTACGCGGAGCACCAGCTCTTTTTAGTTGCACTGCTTTCACACACTGGACGCCGAAGTGCCACTTAGCATCCTCCTGTAGCTGGCCAGCGATGGGCCCAAATTGATCACATTGCCATAAGTTACTGGTGACGTGGTTCCATCCTGGCTTTCCATCCGTTTTGGAGTACTTGCGCCGATTCTGATCATGCTTTGGTACGCTGTCGCTTTTCCATGAACTTCACCGGGAGGTGCACCAAACGTGTCCCCCGATTAGCAACTGAGAAATTATCCCAGCCCTCGGTCAGGCAAGCCTACTAAGCTGCTCTGCGTGTAAAACTTGCGCTCCGTTGTGCTTATAACACTGAGCTTCAGTAGAATAGGATATTGGTCTCCATGCACGATACAGAAGCATCTGCTTGTAGCACTCAGTCGTCACCGCACAAGTCACTGGATATCCGAGAGCTCGGTGAACCTGTTGGAATCCAGACGAAACCTCCCGGCTGGCTCTGAGCACAATGTGACCAGACGGATTATTAAGCACGAACTAAAGCGGAGCCTGTGTGCTGACAAGGAAGCCTGGTGGACCGGTAGGGCTCAAGAAATGGAGGAGGCAGGAGCGGTAAGCAATTACCGCAAGCTCTTCCAGCTGATCCGCACCACAGATTCCAGGAAACCAGGCGTCGGTGAGACAACCAGAGACAGCGCGCGTGCTCTGCTTCATAATAAGGAGCGCCGTATGGCTCGTTGGATGGAACACTATCATGATCAGTTCGTTTGGCCTCCTGTTTCCGGACGTCTTCCTACTCAGGTGCTGAAGGATGACTCACGGACGGTTAGTTTTGAGGTTTCATCGGAGGCTGAAGTGTGAAATGCGATCACAGTCCTCAGTCGTTTTCGTGCTGCTGACCCAGATTCCCTACCATCTGCACTATTTAAGGATGGTGGTGAGATCCACTGTAAAGCACTTTGTTCGAACATGTTTGGCATGAGGAAATCGTCCCGGCTAACTGAAGTGAATCGATCATAGTGGCGATACACAAGAACGGCAGTCGCAACGACTGTGCTAATCACAGGGGTATTAGCTTAACTCCAATGGTGACAAAATTACTGGCCTCGATTCTCGTTCGTCGTCTCACTGCGGAACGGGAATCCCGGATTAGGGAGGCGCAGGCAGGTTTACACCCAGGACAGGGCTCTATATACCACATATTCACTTCGCGGCAGCTAATACAGCAGTCCAACGCCTACCGCCACCCGACAATAGCTGTGTTCCTGGAGTGCAAGAGTGTGTTCGTTTCAGTCGATCGATGCATTCGGTTCCAGATACTTGTGCATTAAGGTCTACCCATTTTACGTGCTCTTTACTCGAACAGGTTAGGCCACTTCAGGGTCTTTGGAAACTTATCGGACATCTTTCCGACAACAATTGGCGTTCGTCAGGGTTGTCCAATTTCCCCATTTTTATTCAATTTCGTCGTAGATCCCATCATGGAGTGTTCCCCTGCAGATCCTCACGATGCAGGGATCGAGATGCTATCTGGTGGAAGGCTAGTTCATCTCGATTATGCAGATGATATTGTCTCGTTGTTCAACGATGTTGGGGCGGCGCAATCAACTCTGATTAACCTCAAAGTGCTGTTTCAGGACCACCAGCCACTTGATGATCCCTTGAACCTAGATAGCGATGAACTCGGTAGTTTATCAATTCGCTTACCTTGGCAGCCGTACCAGCACCGATGGATGCAAAGCTACTAAGGTCAGTTCACGTATTTCAACAGCCAGAACTGCTATTTTGAATCTGCGATATCTTTGGCGACATAAAGAGATTTTTCTGGGTCTGAAAGACTGTATTTACTAGGCCACAGTGAGGGTCGTCCTGCTGTATGGGAATGAGACTTAGCCCCTTCGGTCTGATGATCTGAAGCACCTTAAAGTCTTTGATCATCGCTGCCTGCGACGCATTGCTGATGTCGGGTGGCACCAACGTGTCCGTAACGATGATGTACGTTGGCGCGTACATGGCAGTGATAACCAAGCTAGGTCCTTATAACAACTGGTAGCACCGAATAAGTTGCGTTGGCTTGGGCACATACTACGTATGCCCGGTTACCACTCATCGAGTAGGGCCTTGTTTAGTCTGCCAGATGTAGGGTGTCGCAAGGCTCGAGGTGGACAGTAGTTGACTTGGCAGCGGGAAATGAAGTCATTAACAACCATACTTGGTGCCGTCCGGGCTGAAGTCCACGTGACTCGCCTTGTGTTTGGCTGGAGACTTTACAGGATATGGCTCGCAGTCGGCATCAGTGACAGGTCTGATACCGTCTCCTAGTCGTGCTGCCTGTTTAATGTATGTTTAGTACTGTTATCTGAGAGTTAACGGCTGATTATGACTCGGAGCAGTGAAAGCCGCAAGGAAACTGTCTCGCGGATGCCACCTTATCTTTACACGATAGCCAGCTGTTTGTGACGGTATGTTGTCTACACAAGGTGTAAGAGGCTTGACCCTAAATGTGTGCTTAGAA